AGCCTAAGTGCAGAATAATATCTTGGTACTTACTAAAGCTTATGATCATGAGAATTAAAACTCAACATGTAATACAGTCCAAGCAAATAGCTTGCCTCTCTAGGATAGCAAGATTAAAAGTACTGGGAATATAAAACATCATTTAATTCACCAGCATTATGTTTAATGTTTGCTTCAGTAACAATAGAATAGCTTCTTTTCCCACCAGATAGGAGCGACGAGGAATAACTATAATCTTTGGTGTCTCTGAAAAAAACAAAAAGCACAAATACATTAACTGCAACTTCTGTTTTTTCAACCCATTGCTGACTAAAACTAAACAATGTCAGGATATTTTATTTGCTTGTCGGCACAGATTGCAGAAAGCACATTATTTTATTCAGTAGGTCTACTAAAGTGTACTGGAGTCATCTGACCCATACAAATATGCAAAGCCCATCAACGAAAGGGGAAAAACAAAGGAATGGAAAAGGCCTCAGGAGATAACCTCAAGGCAAAATCCGGAGCTGGAGTCCCGGAGGCAGTTCGTGTCGTCCTGCCAACTCCTGCGACATTGCTGGAACCAGTTGTATTGGCTCTTGCCTTTCCATTGGATTATTTCAGTGACGTGGAGAGAGGGGATTTGCTGGTTGGGTCACAGCCTATCCTCCATATTATTTTACCCAGGCTTCGTGCTCTGGAGAGGATACTCCATCTTCAGTGTGGAAGGGATTGTCACTCTCGAATCAGCTTCCTCAGCCACACTAGATGCTGTTCCAAGTCCTCCATACAGAGCACGTTACTACAGTATATTCTTTCGAGACTGAAGGATGCCTACCTAAGATAGATAGATAGATAGATAGATAGATCGATCGATCGATCGATCGATCGATCGATCAAATCAGTTCAGACTTTTCAGGGTTTTCCAGGTAGAGAGTACTCACAAGTTGTTTCCTAATCCCTTCTTTTTGGTGTGTGTGTGTGAGGGGGTGCTCTGGGGCTGGCCATTTTGCCCAAAGCTATACCGGCTGGCTGTGCTCACAATAATAATT